TTCTTTTATGGCTAGAGAAGTTGAGCATTTCTTCATTTGTCTATTGGCCATTCTTATTTCTTCTTCAGAGAAGTCGTCTCTCTTTAAGTATTTAACTCACTTATTTATCGGGCAGTTGTTTCTTTAACGATTTGTTGTTGGGGGATTTAGTTTTTTGAGTTCCAAGTATATTTTAGATATGAGACACTTGTCCATTGAATGGCAAGTGAAGATCTTCTCCTAATCTGTAGGCTTTCTGTTGATCTTGCTAGCTATGTCCTTTGCCACGCAGAAGCTCTGCAGTTTCATGCAATCTCTTTTGTTCAACATTTATTTGATTTGTTGTGTTTCTGGGTCTCTATTAAGAAAATTTCAGCCTGTGCCAAGGAGACCTAGGGTTTCTCCTATCCCTTCCTGTAATGTTTTCAGGGTGTCTGCTTTGACTTCGAGGTCTTTGATCCATTTGGAGTTGATTCTGGCACAGGGTGATATACAAGGATCTAGCTTTAGTTTTCTACAGGTGTTTAACCAATTTTGCCACCACCATTTACTGAAGAAGCGAATGACAGGATTTTTTTAAAGGTAATATTTTATCAAGTTTATATACATCAATTCATTTGTACATTTTGCAAGTATGCATCATTATATTCTGGGTAGTATGTTGTAAGTTCAAAGATGAGTAAATACAGCATTTGTCTAGCATAGAAAAGACTAACATTGAAAGATAACATACAAGCCGGGCACTGGTGGCTCATGCCTGTAATCCTAGCTACTCAAGAGGCTGAGATCTGAGGATTGCGGTTCAAAGCCAGCCCGGGCAGGAAAGTCCATGAGACTCATCTCCAATAAACCACTAGAAAACTGAAGTGGCGCTGTGGCTCAAGTGGTAGAGCACTTGCCTTTAGCTGAAGAGTGCAGGGACAGGGCCCAACCCAGAGTTCAAGCCCCATGACCAACCAAAAAAAAAAAAAAAAGAAAGAAAGATAAAATGCAGATGTTAACTTACAGACTAGTTCTTGCATCCTCTTTATATGATTTATGTTATATATACCTAATTCATTGATTACATCCTGGATCATGCTTTAAACTGCTTCTTTTGAGTTGTAACTATTGTCAAAATAATGATTTAACTTATTTTTATATATTTCTTTTTTTATTATAATGGTTAGGAAAAAAAACAAATGAAAACCTAAATCTCTAGCAATCAATGCCATTTGTTCACCTGACAAGTGTCCTTCTAAAAACAGCAACTACATAACTTTGAGCTTACTTTACTACTTGAGGAGACTGGCAAATACAAGCCACATAGTATACTTTCTATGACCCAAACAATGAGAGGAAATGTTTATTCTTTAAAAAAACAAAAAGCATCGCTTGCTACATGAGCCAATTCTGAAGTCCTACAAGATGAAATGACTTATTTCTTAGATAAAAGGTCAAAAAAAGCTGAAGAAAATAAACAATCATAAGAAAAAAAGAAGAATTAATAATAACTCAAAACTCTCTCTGTCGACCACTGCAAAAAGACATTGAACTTCTTGAAAACACTATAAAATATATAATATTGGATAAAAGGACAAGTTTCCATAAAAAAATAATTCTGGCCAGAAGTGTAGGTGTGGCTTAAGTGGTAGAGCCCCAGACTTGAGGGAGAAAGCTTAAAGGAAAATACCAAGGGCCTGAGTTCAAACACCAGTACTAGCACAGGTATATGCATATGTACACACACATGTGCACACACACACACACACACACACATACATATATACATATACACAGAATCTGAAATAAGTTCAAACCTTGGGAGTCTGAACATATGGTTTATTCAAAACATAACTTCCATGTATATGGCATAAAGTATACCAAAACAAAACAATTCTATTTCTATGGATATTTCAACGGAAATCATATAAAATATTATGGTTCTAATTTACATGATTACAACCTGTAAGATGTCATTCTATTTTTATTTTCTTTAGAGATAACAAAGATAAAAGAAAATACATTTCCATTTGCCCTTTCCAAATTTTCTGAAGTTGATCACAGACAGGTAAAATACTGTAATTCCAGGCTTTGTTTCATAGTTAACAAGGATAATAGAGCTAGTGGGTGTCTCTGTATAATAGCTAATGAAAAGAGTTGATTTTCCTGTTTGTCATTAATCTCTAGGAAAAGGTTTCAGATGACTGATAGTACCATTCTTAAAAATTAATGTAGGTGGAATGTTTTGTAGGTCTGGTGAAATTTATTTCAAGGATACATTCTACCAATGTAGAAAAGATAAATATTTATCCATTACATACCAGAACTTCCTATGTTTATCTCAACCCATGTTTTATTTACAGTCAAAGTTTACAGGAATTTTCTATCTTTTAAAGAAGTCGCGTAGGCTCAGAAGTTAAAAAAAAAAGTCAGAACAACACTGATCTTGTCAATGAAGTTGAATACTCAAGATAAAAACTAAATGCAAAATGTAAAAGCATTAAGTGAAATATGTGCACTTATAAAATGCTTTATCTTTAGAAACCATTATTAGAAGTTGTTTTTAAGTGTCCTATCTAAGGAAAAATGGTATGATATGATAATGCCCAACTACATTTAAACCAGCTTAAAATCTAGTTGGGGACCCCAAATGACGTTAATTAAGTAAAATTCTAGCTAAGAAGAACAAACATTCACATGTTGTGTTTATATGAAATATGGAGACAATTCTGGCAGAGGAAGTTGAAAAGGAGATTTTAAGATACGTACAAACCCTAGAAATCTAGGATTTGGTTTGAGAAAGAACAGAGGGAAGCCATTCAAAGCTGTGAAGCAGGAATGAGTAGAACCTGCCCCAGAAACAGGAAACTGGTTGGTAGAAATGTACTGATAAGCACATGGCTCATGCCTAGCTACTCAGGAGGCTGAGATCTGAGGATCACAGTTCAAAGCCAGCCCAGGACAGAAAGTCTGTGAAGCTCTTTTCTCCAATTAATGACCAAAAATACAGAACTAGAGTTATGACTCAACTGTTAAGAGTGCTATCCTTGAGCACAAAAGCTCTGGGGCAGTGCCTAGGCTCTGAGTTCAAGTCCCAGGACGGATGTGCACAAATCAGTGATTACTGCACATTAGTTTGCATGTTATTCAATAGGCAACAAGAAAGTATTTCTAAAGATTAAAGTCATGTTCTACTCAGAGGCACTAGATGGACTTAAAGTGGTAAGAAATGAATAGAAGGTTGATGATCCTGTGATAATGAGTGAAAGGAGGAGTTTTCCTGGGGAACTTCTTTGCTTAAAGTATGAAAGGCAGGAAGCGTATGTGATTTTTCTAAAAAAAGTAAGTCCTACATACATGATTTAGTTTGAAACTTAGGTTACATCTTCAGAAACTGATGGCAGACGAGGCTAGACATGTAGATCTGAGAGGAAGGCTAAAACATTTAGGTTTTATTCACAGTCATTTAGGTTCAAGTTCCCATAAGTTTGACCCTCAGGCAGAGGTTGCTTTGAGGAAAGAAAGGCCTTCCCAAAATAAATCTGTCTGAGTTCTCCTAACAGAGTAAGTCTTTTTGTTTAATAAAGCTATTTCTTGAAAATAGTCAGATGGACTATTGCACAAATGTAATTTATATGTGATAACTGCATTTTATCATTGTCATTATCTGCAGAATAAATGAGGGCTCTGATACAGCTGGGAAAAGAATAAAGAATTAAATTATAGTAGTGATTTAAAAGTAGATTTTTATTTGTATGCCTCAGAGACTAACATACGTGAAAATGACAGGTGGAGTATGAAAATAAGTGCCAATTTTACTTTCTTCTTATGATATCAGATAAGGATCTTAATTATATTCTTTATTTCTGGTATTTGAATTATGTACAAAACACTTTTATTATCAAAGTTCTATAAAATTGGAGTATTTTAATTCTGAAAAATGAATGTAAAAATATATTTTGGGGCTGGGAAGGTGGCTCAGTGGTAGAGCGCTTGCCTTGCATGCCTGAGGCCCTGGGTTCCATTCCTCAGCACCACATAAGCAAAGAGAAAAAAGCCGGAAGTGGCTCTGTGGCTCAAGTGGTAGAGCGCTAGCCTTGAGCTGAAGAGCTGAGGGACAGTGCCCAGGCCCAGAGTTCAGGCCCCACAATCGGACCAAAAATAAATAAATAAATATATAAATAAATAAATATATATATATATATATATATTGCCACAAAGCCTAGTAAGTGTATATGTGAAAAAACATGGTATTAAATATTCCCTAAATATTCTTAAATATATACTAATTTCCTAATATATCATCCAGCAGAATAAGCCAATATTGGTATCTCTTTGCTTAGCTTTCCACTGAGTTTTTTTCTGAATTTGATCTTAGGCACTTCTCTTTAAAATACTTATTTTTTTATATGTAAGTAGGGTAATATTTTTCTGAGGACATAATCTATGGCAATGTTTACTTTTTTCTCTTAAAATGTAAAATTAATGTTTTCAAGGTAGTATATAGGATTACTATAGAACAAATTCTAAGTTATAATAGTAAAACAAATGTGATCAGGACTTAAAAGACAATTGGGCACCAGTGGCTCAAGCCTATAATTCTAGCTTCTTAGGAAGCTGAAACCTGTGGAACATGGTTCAAAGCCAGACCAGGCAGAAAAGTCAGAGACTACTTCTCCAATTAACTAGCAAGAAAGCTGAGCTGCAGATATGATTTAAGAGGTAGAGCACCAGCCAAGCAAGCATGAGGCCTGAGTTAAAACCCTAGGGCCAAATAAACAAATTAACAAAAATCACAAAGAATGAAATTAAAATGTAAAAGATAAATGACTCCTTTTAGTTTTTCCTAAAAAAAAATCACAGTTTTCCTTCTGTAAGTCTATGCAACTTAAAATGCAAATGGTTTTTCTATTTGTTTGGGGGAACTGATACATAGAATACAATCCATTTGAAACACACATATATGTTTTAGATTCATATATATATATACACACAGATATGTTTGTATATATATGAACTATAAAACACAAGGCTAATTGAAGAATCCTTAAGCCAAATATTTATCCAACGTGCTTCACATTATGAGATTAAAAAGGTTTAAAGGTTAAACGTATTCTTCTCATAAGGATGTTGTATATAGAAAATTAATTAACTGCATGAAGCCCTAGCTGCAGGCCCTGATATATTCATGCTCAATTATTTGGTGTCAACTATGATTCAGTAGGTTGTGCCAAGACAGACTGACATCAGAAGAGTGTTTATCAAAGTGTTCTACCTTGTAAACTATAGTTTACCAGGTAAACTATAGTGACCTTGTGAAACATTATAATGGCATTGCATTTCTAATTTAGATAGAATATTAAATATATGGCTCCTGTTAGTTTGCCTAGCATAATGGAGTTTTCAGCAAAGGTTTTCCTTTTTTTTAAAAAAACCAAATACAGCACAATATTGCTATGCAGAATGGGAAACTGGATGGCAGTCCCATGGAAGCTGCTTTACAGCAAGCACCCCTGACTCCCCCCAACACCCCAGATCCACGAAGCCCTCCAAATCCAGAGAGCATTGCACCAGGTAAGCAATCCCCTTACAAATACAACAGTAAGATCGGTGTACACTCATTTGAAACTCTCTTAAGTGACGTGTGTGTGTGTGTGTTGTCCTGGGGCTTGAACTCAAGGTCCTGGCACTATCTCTGAACTTTCTTGCTCAAGGCTAGTACTCTACCACTTGAGCCACAGCTCCACTTTTCTTTTCTTTCTTTTCTTCTGAGGATCATGGTTTGAAGCCAGCCTAGGCAGAAAAGTCCCCATGAGACTCTTATCTCCAAATAACTACTTAAAAAACAGAAGTGGTGCTGTGGCTCAAGTGGTAGAGCACTAGCTTTGAGGACAAAGAGGTTCAGGGATAGCGCCCAGGCCCTAAGTTCAAGCCCCACAACTAACAAAAAAGAAAGAAAGAAAGAAAAGAATATGTATTAAAGGCATAATGGCTTATGCCTTTAATCCTAGCACTTGTTAACATAGGTAGGGCCTAAGGATTGAGTGAGTTTGAAGTCAGCTTGAATTACATAGTGAGTCTGAGATGGATGTGGGTTATCTAACAAGGCATTTTCTCAAACAAAGAGGAGTAGAGGAAGGAGAGAAAGAGGAGGAGGAGAAGAAGGAAGAAGAGGAGGAGGAGGAGAAACAGATGAGGATTTTTTTCATTGTCATAAGAAGAAATCAAATCTTCATTTAGGAATATTTCTAAGTAATAATAATAATATCATACTGACATATGAAATCACTCTGCCAGCTATTTAGACAGTAATGTGTTGTGTTGGTGTCAGTACCAAGGCTTGATCTCAAGAATGTGTGTTCTTGCCCAGCATTTTCCCTCAAGGCTGTTACTTGAGCCACACCTCCACTTCTGGCTTTTTGCTGGTTAACTGAGGACAAGAGTCTCTCAGATTTGTCTGCCTGAGCTGGTTTCAAACCTCACTCCTCAGATCTCAGCCTCCTGAAAATGATTTAAAAGTCATTCCAGAAATTTGTGTGGTTTTTATATGATGCTCCCCAAAGTTTTTAGTTATTTTTAAGAATAACAAATCAGAGTGGTGAGACCAGAAACAGAAAATCTAGGTTAAAGTATATATATATACAGAGGTACAAAGTAAATATAGGGTGGAGGCATGGAGAAGGCTAGGATCTCAATAAGACAGTTTGCATTTTGAAGCAGAGATATTTTATAGGCCATTCAAATAGTTAATCTAGCTTTGACCCAAATATTACTTCTGAAGAATAAGCTTTAAGAGGAGGAAGATTCTATTTTTGTTGTTATTTTTGTGTAGCCTCACATATAATCAGCATTCTGTTTTTAATTAAATTAGTTACAAAGTTTCAAGTCTAACGTAAGTGAATATAAGGGACACCTTTTTTTTCCAAAAAATTAAATGAATAGTTTTACACAAACAGATAGAAAGATAATAGATTCTAAATAGATGATGACAGATGATAGAAGGATAAATGATAGATGACAGATAGAGATTCAAGGGGAAAATAATGTATTATTCAGAAAAATTAAACATTGCCAGGTACTGATGGCTCAAGCTTGTAATTCCAGCTAGTCAGGATATGGAGATCTGAGGATGGCAGTTCAAAGCCAGCTGGGGCAGGAAAGGTCTTTAGAATTTTAGCTCCAATTAACCACCAGAAAACCAGAAGTTGTGCTGTGGCTCAAGTGATAGAGCACTAGCCTTGAGCAGGAAAGCTCAGTCTTAGCCCCATAACTGCCTCCTCCCCCCCCCCAAAAAAAAGAAAGAAAAGAAGAGAAAAATTAAACATCAAGAAGAGTGACTTCTTTTTAGAATTCCAGCAGCTTACAGGAGTTTAAATATCCAACACTTTCAGACTACTGTTGTGTGAAGGGTCATAAAAAAGGTTAATTACTCATCAATTTATCCCAGCATGGAAAATTGGACACACGGGACTGGTTGGTGGCATTTAGCAACTCTAGGACATTGTGTTTGTTGACAACAAACTGTTTGTGCTATTTCTCCAAAGGATATTCTGGGCCCCTGAAGGAAATTCCCCCTGAAAGATTCAACACCACCGCTGTCCCTAAGTACTACCAGTCCCCCTGGGAACAGGCCATCAGTGATGACCCGGAGCTCTTGGAGGCTTTGTACCCTAAACTTTTCAAGCCTGAGGGAAAGGCAGAACTACCCGATTACAGGAGCTTCAACAGGTAATTCAGGCATCTGAGGTGACACTGTTGGCATGTGATGCTAAGATGTTTCCCGCACATAGAGGAATGAATCTCCTGGTAGGAAAAAATAAACATTTGTCTTTTATTTTCAGAAAGTAGATTTTCAGAAAATTAAGAGCGGGGATTCAGTGGATCACACATGATTAAACACAAATGGTAACAATTGCTGAAAATATATGTGCGAGAGCACACAATGCCTAAGGCTTTGTTTATTAAGGGCATGTTGTTACTGAACAATTATACAGTGTGATTCTATCTTCTGGATTACATGTTTGCAAATGAGAGTATAAAATGTTATATATGTAATTTTTTAAATTCTAGTGTGGAACTAATTTCCTAAGAACTAGAAAAGCTTGCATAAGCAAACTTTGTGTGTGTGTACGTGAGTTCTAGATCTTGAACTCTGGCCATGGGCACTGCCCCTTCCTCAAGGCTACCCCTCAATCACTTCAACAGCAGCTCTACTTCCAGTTTTGGTACTTAATTGGAGATAATTTCACAGACTTTCCAGCCTCAGCTGGCTTCAGATGGGTGATCCTGAGATCTCAGATTCCTGAGTAACTAGGATTAAAGATGTGAGCCACTAGTGGCCAGATACAAACAATTTTTTTAAATGATTGAAAAGCTATCAAGAAAGTGTATTCTTGAAGGCCAACATCCTGGAAAAAAGAGAACTCTAGAGATGGAAACCCAACATTTGGTGCTTCTCCCCTCTAAGTACTGCTGGTCACTGGTAAAATCTAAGAGGCTGAGAAGCTGAGCAAAATTTTCTAGCAGTTTCTAGCTTAGGAAGACTCAAAATAGGATTATAAGAACCTCTAAAATGGAGGTGCCTAGTGGCCATTCCATGACTTCAGCTGGAAACGTCTAGTGAAAATATTTCTTAAAAGTAAAAGTTAAATAAAAACATGGTAATAGATTCATTTGTATTCCCATGTTATGATACATAATGATTACCTATCAATATAGCATAGGGAGCAGGATGCAGTCTGACTACATCCAGTGGTGATAAAATGGATGAAGATTGGATCCTAAGTATATTCACAATCTCAAAATAGCTGAATACAACTTTGTATTCTTGTACTCTCTTGACTATAGTCAAATGTTATGCAGCATTCAAACTTGTGGAACATGTAAGAAAAAGTAAACTTGGAGCAAAGAGATTTCCAGCTCTGCTTTACATTTTTCTCATTGGTATAATTAATTTTATGATTAGATATCTTTATATCTATACACAGTAGCTATTTTGTAGAACTTCTATGCGACCCTCCTACCCAACAGAATAGTTAGCTATTATTATGATTGTATTATGTGTTCAGTGCTAATAATAATTTTTAGGAACCTAACTCCACTATTCTCTAATCAACATAAACAAGGAAGCATCTATTAACAGTGCGGGTGAATGAAACATACCTATTATTCACAACACAGATGACAAAGTGTAAAGGACTTTTAATCATACCTATTTCTACAGAATTACTCGTGGAATTATAGAGATGCAAGTATCTTTGAATAGGGTATTCGGATAGGGTATTTCATGGCAAAATTTTACTTTAGTACCTTTGAGAAGGACTTGAAACTATTTTCATAGATCTTTAAAATCTTACAGGAAGCCTCTCACTTTGAATGCTAAAGGATTCCCTTTCATTTGTATGTAGAAGGCAATAAATTTCAAATAAACAGGATGTAGTCTCAGTGTTGCCAAAGAAAAGAAAAGAAAATCCTGCTTTCCAAAGAGCAACTTTTCACTGGCTCTGTGCTAAAAGGTAGGAGACCAATGATGGGACAGAAGGAGAATTCTGATGTTTACAAGGGTAGAAAATGACCCACTAATTCATCCAGAGTGGGGAGAAAAAACCCACAGAACTGGCTAAGAAGAAGGAAAGCAGCTCACTAAATATAAAACCCCAACAGTCAATCTGAGTACAGAGGAACTTTCTTCTTTGAGTTAGATCAGAAAATAAATACATGAATAAAATTTATTTCGGGAATCAGATTCAGCTTGAATCTAGAAATGTTCTTCTTTGGCATCTTGGATCTAATGGGTGACTCTATTCCTTTGTTAAAAAACCCCAGTGATAGGTGTGCCACCTGTCAAGATCCCCTTGAAAAGAGACACACAGTTGGTTTAGTGTTATACTGTCCTTATCTTCACATTTCAAATTATTTTCAAATTTAAGTGACTATAATATTATTTTCCATTTTGAGGCCTGAACCCAGTGCCTTGGGTGTTTTTGGCAGTCTCTCTGCCCATTGAGCCACAATCCTAACCTCCAATTCTTACTAATTTTCTAATGAGGCGTATTATTTTTCTGTTTTGTACTGATCCCTAAGGCTTATAATGCTGGTCTTGGTCTAGAACTCTAAATTTAAGGAAGTGGGTTTTTGTTTTTGTTTTTTCTGTTTTGCATAAGGCTTCTCTGCCCTCAGGCCATTCTTCTGTTACAGTAACTAATTTATGTCATATACCTCTCCCTGTCCCCTGCTCACTCTTTGCTAGTCAGCTCATTGGAGATTAAAATACTGTGCAGTCTTTTCCTTGGTATTCACTTAGCAGAATATCTAGACAGACTGAATAATGAATGAACCAGCAAATGAACAATCTATTGTCATACAATAGCAAATATCTTAATGTGATAAAACATTCCCTTGCCTATCTTAAACATCTAAGAATAAGACATTTCCTTATGTACTGCATCTAATTTGAGTCAGATGTTTATCATCATTAAATCAGAAAACAAAATGTGGAACACTGAATTAGATGATCTTGTTAGGAGTCTGACAGCAACCATATGAGATTGAGTGGTTGGATATGATATAAACACATAGTCCGTGTAGGCTGAGATTCTAAAATACACTTCTGAACCTAGGAAGTGGTTTGAGAGGTCTGGTGATCTAGTTCAGTAGTAGAGCATTTGCCTAGTAGGGTTAAGTTTGAAAAATTGTAAGAATTCTTTTGTGGGGGGTGTGCAAGTGACTAGCAAAGTAGAATTCCAGCAAGTCTGGATACCAAGGTTCAAATCATGGTTCCCTAAATTAATGGGTACATGACTTCGGGCAAGTCATTTAGCTTATCTCTGTCAAATGGGGTATGAATAAAATCAACTCAGAAAGGTTTCTGTGCAGATTTAATAAGATACTCATGTGAAGCCTTTGGTAGATCAAAGTATGGCTGCAAATCAACAGCATCTGTACCACCTGGAAACTCGCCAGAAATGCAGAATGCTAGGGGCTACCCAGGCTGACTATATTAGCAACCACACTTTAAGGAGCTCCTCAAGTGGTATTGATACCAAGAGTGTGACAAGCACTTGAAGCAGTGTCTGGTGCATAGCATCCATATGATAACTATTAGCCCTCCCCCAGTACAATGCTTTCTGAAGGTTAATAATCCTAAAATACCTGAATGCTGTCTAATTTGGTAAAGGCCTTTCTTTTTTCCAATTGATCTCTTATTTCTAGAAAAGTGGGTTTCCTTCCTGGACAGAAGTCCGTGCTAACATGATTGCTGAAATAGTGATCAGGACAAGGTTGTTGGAACTACCTTACGATCTGTTCTCCAAATTCTCCCCAGCAAGTTAGGACACAAAGGATAAAGTCAACCATTTTGAGAAGAGGTACAATAGAACATGATGTATTATCTAGCTCTTCAGAGAGGGGAAAATACCATAGTCAAGAAAAATTGGCTTTAATAATATGGCATAGCATGTCTGTCACCGCCATGGTTGAGGCCACTGTGCACATTCCCTCACTCACCAAAGATTTCTCTTTTCTTTCTTTCTTTTTTTGGTCAGGGACCAGATTTACCTTGTACCTGACACTTTCACTCATTGGTTAGCACTCTATAACTGAGCCAGACCTCTACCAAACATTTTAACATCTTCTTTACTGCCTCCCTCTCTTGTAATTTTCCTGTTCTTGATTTTTGGTGGCCTCACTACCCATGCAAATTATCCAACAAACTTTGCTCTTTCAAGTTACAACCTCTTTAAAGGATTATTTTCTCAACTACATCTTAGTCTTGGCTAATCTTAAAACGTATCCTTAATATTACCTGTGTCACCTCCCAAATCCTCAAGTCAAGCATTCTACTCTCTCACAAACACTTTATGTCTTTACAGTTCTTTTTTTTTTTTTAACATTTTGAGTAATGCTTCATTCCTCTCAACAAAGCCACCTCTTTTTAAAAAGGTCATCATCCCCTTCCTTACTTAGATTCTATAGTCCACCAATATTTCATTACATATACTCATGGCTCTCCTGCTTCTCTGTTATGCTCAGCTGCTAATGTTTCAGCTCTGGCCAATACTGTTTGTTTCTTCACAGTCTTAATGTGAGCCAAATGGAAAAGAAAGCTTCTTGACTGTCTCACCTTCAGTTGATAATCACAGATCCAGCACTATCAGATAACCTTAGAACATGCTATAGCCATTTCTCTCCATCAGTCTCCTAAAGATAGGCTATACCTCCTCTTTCCCCACATGGGCAAAATCCCACCCCACTCCACCATCAGCTGATGGCTGCAGGTGTTATTTCTGTGAGAGTGGAAGCAAATTGAAAGAGATCGAAATTGTTTTCCTGTTAACAAGGTTACCAACTGAGTGCTGATTCCATAAGCTCTTTACTTTCTTGTCAGAAATCTGATGAGTTACCCAACAGTTCCTAAAATCAGCCCTCACAAATACGATTATTCCCAGCCCCTCTTGTCCACTCTCAGACTTAGCCTACAATTGCACCTACTCTTGTTCATCACTTTTTTTCTCTTTCTCCCTACTGGGTTCTTACTCTTAGTATAGAGACAAATTTAAATGTCTCTTAAATAAAAATCTTCCTTTTTCCTAAACTTCCTTACTATCTAGTATTTCTATCCAATTTCTTGAAAACAAAAATATTTTCAAAGGAGTTAGGCTCCAATGGCTCATACCTGTAATCCTAGCTTACTCAGGAGGCTGAGATCTGAGGATTGAGGGTCAAAGCCAGCCTGGGCAGGAACATCGGTGAGACTCTTATCTCCAATAAACCACCAGAAAACCAGAAGTGATACTGTGGCTTAGGTGGTAGAGTGCTCCCCTTGAGCTGAAGAGCTCAGGGACAGTGCCCAGGCCCAGAGTTCAAAACCCATGACCAACAGGAAAAAAAAATATATATATATATATTTCTTCCCTCCTCCAAAGGGGTATTTATCACTGTATATACTTCCTCATGTTTCATTATCTCTTGAACGCATCTCAAACCACTCTAATATAAACAGATATTCCCATGTTTATGTTCCATAGTGAATTCAGTTATAAATTCATTCAGCTTCACAACAGAATATGTTATTATTTTCTTTCCTAAACACAGATTGTATTCATTGCTTTTTAGAGCACTAACTCTCCGGAGTCTCCATCTCCTCCTTCTTAGCTTCCACCGCTAGATCCTCCCTTTCCAAACGCTGAATGGTAGAACACTATTTTTTCTCTTTACTGTACACTCACTCATTCTGGGCTGTGACTTCCTGACATTCCATCCATTTGATGAGCATCTACTTGCTGGTAAAGCCAATGAGATATTCTGTGCTGAACCTTTCCTTGAGCCTCAGCCTTCCACAGGACATAACCTAACATGTATGACTAACAACCATATGACAATTAATGTCAGAAAGGAACCCAAACCAACTGCTATTCCAGTCTATTTTTTGCCCGATTTCTTTTTTTTTAATTTTTATTTTTTATTGTGAAAATACAGTACAAAGGAGTTACAATTACATGGGCAAGATAACGAGTTCATTTCCTATCAAGCATTGTTGCCTCCTCTTTGCTTCCCCTTCCAATCCCTTCCCATCCTCCCCCCACCTTCCCCCACCCGATCTCCCTCACCACCACAGTTGTAAAGTTCGTTTTTCGACATAAGGACATGTCTTAGTACACTCCATGTTGTTCAAGTAAGCATCAAAGAACTTCATTCCATTCTTCCTCTAGTATTTGGATACCTTTAACCAAGTCCTGTGGGCCCCACCTTCAAAAAGCACTCAGTTACTTCTTAATTAGCATCTCCAGCGTTAGAAACCAAGTGATGGATCTCTTCCTTTGCTTAGTGTAAGTGCTTTTAGACTGGGCTTTCTACTTGTACTGTTTTCTTCCTCTATGCTGTTTTCCACACAACAGCTGGAGAGAGATGGTTTAAAAAGAGAATCAGATCACATGTTCTTCCTGCTAAACATGCTATTACCACTTAAGTGCAAACTTGCTATCAGGGTCTGAAGACTTACAGTTCTTGCCCCTGTGTCTCCAACCCCTGTGTCTCCAGCTTTCTCTTCTGCTCTCCTAAGGGTCACCTAGGACCTGCCATGCTGGCCTTCTTAATAAAACTCCATTTATAAAACTCCATTGTACCTTGGTGCCTTTTTCCTTTTTGTTCTTCTTGTCCACAATGCCTTCCTCGATTATCAGATAATTCAGTGGTTCCATCTCATGCTCTGCTGAAATGACATTTTACAGACAATTATATTTCAATAGTGCTCATTTCCTTGAACTAAAACTGCAGCAATGGTATGAGCATATGAACTTCCCAACTCCTCGCTCTCCTCTACATTTCCTCATTGCACTACTCAGTAAGTTATGCTATTGATTCATCTTCCCGAGATGCAGATACAAGTAGACAGCAGCAACTTTGTGCATCTTATTTAACACTATGATCTTGGCATCCACTACACGACCAGGCACCTGTAAGCACTTATTGAACACCTGTTGTGAAAAATTAATATAGTTTATAGGATTGTGTTTGACAGGTCGAGTCATTTCTCAGGTGAAAATGAGATGGCAAGCTAGCCAGACTTACTCAAGAATCCAACCTTTTATACGGTTGTGTTTTCTTTTTCTATTGCTCTATAATTTCTGTCATTTTCTTTTAATACATAGAGCATTCAGAAGACAGAAATCCTACTTTTATTTATACACTGCACCATTTTTTTGCTAGTCCTGAGGCTTGAACTCAGGGCCTAGGCACTGTCCCTGAGCTTCTATTGCTCAAGGCTAGCATTCTACCACTTGGGCCACAGCACTACTTCTAGCTTTTACTGTTTATGTGGCACTGAGGAATCGAACCAAGGGCTTCATGCATGCTAGGCAAACACTCTACCACTAAGCCACTTCCCAGCCCTCCATTTTTTTTGTGGCAATACTAGGGCTTGAACTCAGGGCCTAGGCAATATCCCTAAGCATTTTTGCTCAAGGCTAGTGATCTACCACTTGAACCACAACTGTACCTCTGCCTTTTTTTTAAGTGCTTAATTAGAGGGAAGAGTCTCACTGACTTTCTTGCTTGCACTGACTTTGAACTGTAATCCTCAGACCTCAGCTTCCTGAGGCATGAACCTTTAATATATGGCTACTCCACATCATTTTTTGTTTAGTTAAATGCACACATTAACAATCTGTCTAAATTATTATATTCAAGAACAAAATTATGACTTCTGACTATGACCTTTTATACACAAGAGAATAAAATCTCTAACTACTTATTCCACTCATGTACTCTGCCACCAGGTAATACTGGCTAATTTGTACTTTTCTGTAGTATAAATAGTTAAACCAGATAGGCCTTTTTTCTTGGCAGTATCTAGCTTTGTGAATATAGTGCCAGTATTGTGGCTTGAACTCAAGGCTTCAGGCTCCTGCTTTGCTTTTCTAGTCACAGTTCATACTCCACCACTTGAGCCTTTCCACCAGACCCTGCTCTCTGATGCTTAGTTGGAGATAAGAGAGTCTTTTGGATTTGGTTGGACCTAGTGGGCTTTGAATCTTTATCCTCAGATCTCAGGTTCCTCAATAGCTAGAATGATAGATATGAACCACTGACTCCCAACCCATGATCACATTTTAAAGTGTTTTTATTGTCACTGCCAGTACTTTTTCACAGTATGACTTGAGTTAATTAGTTATCCATCAGTTAGCTGGAGCACATTCAAGTCATTCTCTTAGGAAGAGAATACCAATCTAAACCATGCCTACTTTCTTTTAACCTTGGTACATGAAGAATTAGACAAAGCTTTTTTCCTCTTTAACAGTTGACATTTTCCTACTCCCTTTAAGAATTCAATGTTTTGAAAAAGATTATAGCAACTCAATTTTTCCATCCCTCCTCTCATTCTCATTCCCAATATGGGTAATTAAAATTCTAACAAAAATGCACAGGTAGTATTTTTTCCCTAATTACTATTGACAAGAATTTGTCGACTCATTTTGCTCTATAATCTCTACTTCAACTCAAGAAAGTTGTCTTAGATCATGTCTTTGGCTCCTCATTATGATCCTCATGTTTTGTTTTTTCCCCCTCTGGAAGCTTGAATATCCTCCATATGGATTCATTTATAATATTTATTGTGTTGTTTGCTTCCTTTCTTAGAGAGCCCTTTCACATAATTTAGCATGTTTTTTCTATGGAAAAGACAAAAATTATACTGTCTCTCAAAAGATAGCAAGTTCTTTTTTATTCTTTTTATCTGAGAATGCCAAAAACAGAGGGGTTACAGTTACATAAGTCGGGCAAAGAGTACATTTCATTTTGGATGTCCTCCCTTCCCTCCCAGTTTTTCTCTCTCATTCCACTCACAAGTATATAGTTCATTTTCAACATGGAATCAGCAAGTACCATTGCTGCATGTTTACTCTTTGTCCCTCCATTTCTGTGCCTCCGCTTACACTCCCAAGAACATAAAGATGAACAAACAAGACAATAAGAAAACAAAAGCAGCAAAAAGCAATACCGTCTTGTTTCCATTTCCTACAGTTTATTTCGATAAATATTATTTTGTATGATCAGATACACTTAGGCATTGCAAGCTCTTTGAGAATAAAGGCCATTTTTTGGGGGGGGGTCCGGTCATGGAGCCTGAACTCTGGGTGCTGTCCCTCAGCTCTTCAGCTCAAGGCTAGCACTCTACCACTTGAGCCACAGCGCCATTTCTGGCTTTTTTCTTTTTGCTTATGTGGTGCTGAGGAATTGAACCCAGGGCTTCAGGCATGCAAGGCAAGCGCTCTACCACTGAGCCACCTTCCCAGCCCCTAAAGGCCATTTTTTTATTTCTACTTATTTGATCTAGGAAAATAATAGATATTTATAATTAGTATTTGGTTTCATTAGATGGACTAAGATTATCTGGTAACGTAAGAACATGAACTTACTAGAAAAAATGATGACAAAAATGAAAAAAATGAAACAAGAAACCGAGAGTTCAGTACATAAAGACAATAATCAAAGTTCACATGTTTATATAAGTGAAAGGAAAAAAGGATCATAAATCTAAAACATTTATAAACTAATTTAATTGCTACAGGAGTTAAGCTACAAAGTATAGTCTGGTGGGGAGATAGAACCAAAAGATCACACACTTGTAGGAAAGGCATCAGGAAGTATCTTAAATAGGAAAAACGTGGTTAGCAAACACATAGAAGTAAGAAATTTTTGTGATGAGCTTAGTGTACAGGTGAGAGATATTTTAACCCAAAAATAAGATTATAAAACAACTTTTAAATAGTGTGCTATCAAATACCTGGTTTAGCTTAAAGGCATTGTCTTTCAATGGCAAGGCTTGGACCCCAAGCTCAAATACTGAAAAACATATTTAGAATGCCCAAATAGTTTGCCTACAGAACTGTGAACTAAGTTTTTCCCCTGTTTTCTGGAAAATGATTTTGAATATTGTTATTACTTTTTTCTCTTCATTTCCCACAGAGTTGCTACCCCATTTGGAGGTTTTGAAAAAGCATCCAAAATGGTCAAATTCAAAGTTCCAGATTTTGAGCTACTACTGCTAACAGATCCCAGGTTCATGGCCTTTGCAAATCCTCTTTCTGGAAGACGGTCCTTTAATAGGACTCCGAAAGGGTGGGTATCTGAGAATATTCCCATTGTGATAACCTCGGAGCCTGCAGAGGATGCCGCCATGCCAGAATCAGAAGACCTCTGAAAAGGAAGCTGTACACTACACAGAAACCTTTCAATAGAAAAGTTCCTTTTTCACTATCCTGCTTATTGACAGCCACTTACATTCTTCACTAGTAGTGATGATTCAATAGCAATAAAAGAAGTTTCCTTTTTCTGGCATTTGACTTCAATCTCAGTTGAAATACTAAGGAACAATTAAAGTATTACTTTTAAAACTTATGACTTATTTGTATTCATCTGTAACTTTATTTTCACCTGGTTTAAACAGTCTAGCCTATTTGATGTGCAAATTCAGAGGGATGGAATTTTCATCTTTGGTTCATTTTATGTTATTCCAGAGTAAGTTCTAAAAAAAATAGAATGTAGAATCAAAGCACAACATAAACTATATAGACTTTTGAGTTTTATTTAATGGAAAAAGCTATAGAAGATGATGAATAATGTATTGATGGAGATAAGAGTTGGCTGCTTCCTCTCTGTTGGCCAGGACAAAACAGTATGTCTGAATGACATCTTTTCTTTCCTCACAGGCAATTCTGGACAACATTCTAATTCCAGTGCACTATTATATTCAATTAGTATTAAGTCAAGAAAATTATGAGAGAATGATGTAAGGGACCATACACTACTGTAGTTTTAATGATCAGTGTGTCTCAGAATTCAAGTTCTAAAAAATCTAATGCAAAGTATTAATTTAACTCTACATATGCATTTTAGAAAAGAAAAAGTATAAAACAGATGGAATATATATATATATATATACATATATATAAAACAAGGAGCATGAATTTGAATTGGGAGCTTTCATTTGCTGAATATTTCTGCCAAAATCCTTAAATACTAGGAAGTCATATGTGATAGAACATAACCCAAAAACAAAGAACAAAAGGACCTGAAACAAAAGCAATATAGACTATTATGACTTCTCTCCCCGCCCCCACCCTGAAGTTATATAATTCATTTCCAACACAGTGACTAGTTGGTTTCACTGTTAAATTGCTTCACACTTTGTTCCACTGTTTCTGTGCTTCTCTTTTCCCTCCACAAATCAGATAAACACATACAAAATAAAACATACAGAAGTAAAAAACAGGTACAGAAGGGAATAAACTAAAGAAAAAAGGAAAGAAGAAATGAAAAGAAAAAAAAGAACCACGAATAGTATAATAAAAAACCTCTTACTTCCAATTTTTGGGGTTCATTTCAATAAGCATTATTTCATATGATTTTATGCATATAGCTATTGAGCCCTTGTGATCCTCTCCTAAGAATATCCTCTTTGTTTTTCACTGTTTAGACTTCTGTTTATCATGTGCAGGTGTAATTATTTGTCTTTTACTACCCAGGGTTTACCTGGAGGTTTATAGGCATATTTTGATGGTTAATTGGAGATAAAAATCTCACAGACCTTCTTGCCCAGGCTGGCTTTGAACATCATTCAGATCTCAGCCTCCTGAGTAGCTGCGATTATAGTCATTAGGTACCAGCACCCAACAAGCATCACTATTTCTGTTGTTTGGGTAGCATGGGAACTAGTGATTATTTTAATCATCTTCAGGATTTGTTAGAGAAAAATCTTAACATTACAAAAATGTGCCTTCTAGGAAGTAACAAATATATACATATATATATATATACACACACACACACACACACATATACATACACAACATATTGTATACATTTATACACACACATATATATACATATATTGTTACCATCCTTGAACTGTACTTAGGAGGATCCTATCATATCATATCATATTTTGTTCAGTTTAATCTTTAAAATTTAACTATAAGCCCCTTGCTGGTAGCTCACACCCGTAACCCTCGCTACTCAGGAAGATGAGATCTGAGGATGAGATCTGAGGATCAGGGTTCAACATCTGGGTAGGAAAATCTATAAAGCTCTTATCTCCAATAAACTACCCCCCAAAAGCTGGAAGTGGAGCTGTGGCTCAAGTAGTAGAGTGCTAACTTTGAGCAAAAGAACACCAGGCCCTGAGCTCAAGCCCCAGGACTAGTAAGAAATATAAAAAAAAATGATTATTTTCTAGTTCATAAGCATGATGATAGGGTCCTCATGTGCTTGCATGACATGTGCCTCCCTAAAAACCTTGTTATGATGTGGGCACATTACCTGTCTGATGTGCAAAGGGAAAGAATGTACAATAATTATATTCTGTTATCTATTTTGCTGATTTAGCCTGTGTTAGCATTAGAGATGAGTTAATGCTTTTAATAAAATTGACATTTTAATTACAACTCATTTCAAGCTTCAAATCATAGTTAAATCATCTGATCAGTGTTACCATTGAAAGGACAACAATTAAATGTGGTAGCTGTAGGTCAGTATGTTCCAATAAAAGAGCATATAGAATAAGAAAATCTAAAGTGTATTTTTAAAGGATTAAGCATAAAATAATGAAACAACACTCTGTTTACTATCTTATTTCTTCCTTTCCTGGAAATGTCCTAATTCAGGCTCAGCTGACACTTTTAGAAATGCCAGACTTTCACTCTGGTTGCTGCAGAATTGAAAAGGAATTTTGAATGGATTTTCCACTGACCTGAAAACCAGCAGAAGTTTGCAAAATAGAAGAAATATGATTATTTCTTTTGAAGAACAGAAAGATTGCGGTAGTTTATCCATGTTCACTTTTATTCATGACATGGGAAAATAGGAAGACTTTTTTTAAAAAGCAAATGAATGAAAATAATATTTGTTGATATATTTTTAAATGTCAAGCTTTATACTCATTGTTTCATAAAAGCCCATTTATATATAGGAAATATATTTATATACAAATATATACAGTATTTTCACAATAAAAAACAAATATATACGAACAAGTATATATAGTATTTATACTACATATCTTGTATATAGTATGTAATATATAAATATACAATGCATAATACATATTTATATTATAATTATAATAATGTATGTCTTCCATAATTATCTTGCTAGGGAGGTATTAAAATAATCTAAACTTCATATTACAAAACTGAGGCTCATAAAACTAATGTGACTTGAAATAAGCCTTGCTTCAAAACATACTCTAAATTATAACTCACAGTGATATCTTCTCTTTCAGAAGTAACAGCCTTAAGCTATTACATTTGGACACATAATTGCATTTCATTACATTCAGTTAAATACTATCATTTTATCACATTTAGACAAATAATAAATTTAGACGATAATGTTACTTTGATCAAATACATTATTTTTAAAATAGCCATCATTTTATTTTTATTTATTTATTCATTTATTTATTTTGGGTCCGGTCGTGGGGCCTGAATTCTGGGCCTGGGCACAGTCCCTCAGCTCTTCAGCTCAAGGCTAGCACTCTACCACTTGAGCCACAGGGTCACTTCCGGCTTTTTTCTTTTTGCTTAAGTGGTGCTGAGGAATTGAACCCAGGGCCTCATGCATGCAAGGCAAGCGCTCTACCACTGAGCCACCTTCCCAGCCCTAGCCATTATTTTAATACCAGTCAAGTATAGCTGTAAATGAATAATTTCAGTATTGAAAGACATATAGACATAATTATAGAGTTGTTCAGCCTGTGTTAAAGTTGAACTAAGTAAAATAAACAACATGCATATATTTAATTTTGATGGAAAAATAAAAAAATTATATCCCATCTAAAGCCATTAATTTCTGCTTGTTATGCTGTACAATCTGCTTATGTATGTAATATTCCTTTTCATTCTTCTGCAAAGGGGAAAAAAGAAAAAAAGGCAGGGAACATTTGAGGGATAAAATTATATATAATATAAACCTAAAGGAATAATCTAGTATAATATCATACTAAAATCATTCTTTCAAAACTATTCCTTCAAATGAAAATGCTTTCTCAATTTCTAGTATATTGTTCAAAATATATCTGAGTTATGAAATGATATTTAGTTTTATTTTAGACAATTTGCTCTTATCTCATGGTAGGACGGATAATCAGCCAGCCAACTGTCCTTTAGATAACAATAACTATAGCTGAATTGAGAAATAGTTAATCCAAAGACTATCATTGGCTCTTTTTTTGGCGGGGGGGGGGGGGGGGGGGGGGGGGGCATCTTTAACTCAGGGCCTGGGTGCTGTTCCTGAGAGCACTTTTACTCAAGACTAATTATACTGCTTTGAGCTACAGAGCTACTTCCAGTTTTCTGGAGGTTAATTAGAGATAAGAATCTCACAGGCTTTCCTGTCTAGGTTGGAACCATAATCCTCAGATCTCAGCCTCCTGAGTAGCTAGGACTTCAGGCATGAACCACCAGTGTCTGGCTATCCTTGGCTTTTAATTCTCTTCTTCCTAAGCTCATTTCTTTTTCTCTTTTTAAAATATTTTTATTGTAAAGATACTGTACAGAGGGGGTCACAGTTACATGAGCAAGGTAATGAGTCCATTTCCAATTTTTGTTTTTCCCCTACCATCTCTTTCCTCCCCACCTCCCCAGCTCCTTAACTCATTTCTTAAAAGTATTTTCCATGTTGCAAATCATTTGAAAGGACCTGTCACTTCAAAGAATCAATTACTGCTTATTACAAAATCAATCCAAATAATATACAATAACTTTTAGTCAAAATGACCAATACACTACATCAATTGAAAATTTTACATCTTCTAAATAGAGTCATTTATAAATGTTTTAGTAACTTGGAAATGGAAGGGGCCAATTATTTTTGCAGATTCCAATATGGAGCATAATGTCCAGTTGTGAGTGTGAAAAGAACATCTTGAACTTTTCAACTCTGGGCACAGCTGTGCCAGCATACTTGTTAATTCTGGAATTTCCTCACTCTGCTGCCTATGCAAGATAAAACTTAGATGACATCATAAGTTTTTCAGCCACAACTGCTTTTTATTAAGCTTAGGAAAGCAATTCTTTGAATACTCCTTTTCTTATTAAAAAAAAAAGTCCTTCCATTCACTCTGATCTGTAGAAAGAAGAGCATTTATTCACTTATTATGAAAAGGGGAGAAACACCAGGCTTGCCAAAAGAACAAGCAAGGGA